AGGTGTCCTGGAAATCTGGAGAAAGTCCTTTGCTGTGGTGAGAGCTCACTTCAGTATAGAACCTTCGCACCTTCTTCTCCTACTTCCACTTAACTACAGAGACCAATTGCTTTTCCAGATGCTTTTCCTTGTCTCCTGGGTCTTTTCCCTTTGAGAGACTCTCCTCCCCTCCACCTTTTCCCGATTCTAGAAGTTCTTCCTCACTCGAAGGGCCCTGGGTCAATGGGCTCCCTCTCTCTGGGATTGTGGGACTCACCCTCGAGCTCAAATGGAGGCTTTTCCTAAGAGCAGTATTCAGGAGCCAGGGTCACAGTTCCAAAAACTGAGAGGAAAACGTGTCATCATCATTGTGCACATGTTGCGACATGTTCTGCTGGCTGCACTGAGATCCATCTGCATCCTTGAATGCCAGTAAGACAAGTCTCCAGATATCCGTCTGTGGATCTACTCCTCTTTTACAAGGGTAAGAGCTGCTCAGCTGTATCTTGGAAGGTAAGGCTGTAAGTAACCCGTAAAATCTTTAAGAAAACATCCTGGGATTTCCAGCAGCATTTATCTTAATGAGATGGTTATCAAATCTTTGAAAATTGGGGGTCTACTGCCTTTGGGAGGATAACCGGAATACTTGCAAAGGAAAACACAAAAAAAGTCCTGGTGACCTCAGTTTCACCCCTGAATTTCCTTGCCAGATGTTGGACTATTCCTTTTGTCCTGAAACCCCCCCTGCTACCAGCATCTTTTTGGACAGAGGGGGCTGAAACGAAGGAATTATTGAGAAAGCGCCAGCCACAATTCCCAATCCAGAACTTCCCAGAAATTGGCTGTGGAGCCAGAGAGGCACATGTGGGATGGAGCGGCCGGGACATGACTGGTGTTTTCGCAATAAGACTGAGAGAGGAGACACTTTCTGTAACCATGACAAACTGGAAGCAGATCTTGTTTGCTGTCTGTTTTTGGGAGCGAGCAGGAGAAAACTCCCGCTCCAGAGAAGCAGTGGGGATTTGCTTCGGGAGAGCGGACACGCGTTCCGTCACGGGGAATAAAATATGGGTCTGAGACCCAGCGCAGCTCGGAACAGCAGGTCTGCCGTGAAGCCAAACACATCTCGGGAGAGATGGAGCTGCCTTGTAAAGATCCACGCCGTCCGCAGCCCGAGCGTGAAGGCTGAAGCACGATAACGCAAGGGGCTACGATGTCCCCCTCTCACACCGCAGGAAGACGGGGTGCCATCGATCTGACTCCCACTTCGACACCCTGGAGGCCTCGATGCAGCCTGTCACATGGCCGTGGTTTCTCAGAATGCAATCTGCTGCCCTGCCAAGTTCTCCTCTTCCCATGACTCTCTGCAAGGTGATAAATGAGGTTCTCAGGTCCTGGCACACAGGAACGGAGGCTCTCGGGAGGTTGAGATCTGTCCCTCCGCGGCCTTGCTCAGGCCTGAGCCGGGACAGGCGCAGTCTCCAGCGAGCTCGGGACTGAGGGTTGTCAGGAGGGGGGCAGAGAGTTATTCTAAACAATAACTTCCACTTCCCACATTCTTTGTTTTTTTTAAAGGTTCATAATAAAGCACAAAATTCCAGAGTGTTTTTTTCATCTTGCTCAGAGCGAAAGCAATGAGGGAATTATTGGGAGAATGGCATAATGAAAGTTCACTTTGCTGAGGCCGAGCCAAATATGACATATGTAACCCCCCCAACTCTCTTTGGTGGTGCGCTGGCTTCCAAACACGGCATTCAGAGCTCGGGCTTTTAACTGCATCGCCTTCGCACCACTAGAACAGACAGCTCTGCACTTCCTGAAGGCAAGAAGGCATTCCCGAGCTGATAAGACCAGGCTCTGCTCTTGCAGATGTCTTTGAGTTATTTCCGCCATCTCTGACCGTTATGGGCAGTGTGTATGTGCCAGATTCAGGCATTGGCTCAGGATTGGCAAAGTCCTGCCAACAGTATTTTACCATAAAGCCCTCAAGTATAGCTTGTGAATACTCTGACTCTGTGCACGACCTTAACGGACTCACAGATTGAACACTGTTGGATTGGGTGACGCGTGTGAACGACCTCCCGGATGTGGTGAGATCATTGTTATGCTTAAGAACCCACATTTTAAGATGCTTTTATGGAGGTTTGTTGTGAAACATTTTGACTGGTTTTCATCTCTTGCCATCCACTGAGCATGTTTTCTTCTTTTCAGCATTGGCATCGGCAGTAAGTGCTAAACTCGCAACAGAATCTGTTGGCCAAGACTGATTCAGACAGAAACACTAACACTTCTCTGTGAGCAGTCTTGTTGAGTCAGCCTGATGATCTGATAATAATCTCTATCTGCCTTTTCTGCCATTAAATTAACACAAAGGCAGAAAATAAAAACTAAGCATCAGTATTGTTCATCATTGTACTGAACCGAGGTTTTCTGGAATAAACTCTTTTCATTTTGTTTATTTTTTTTATATCATCTATGGACTGCCTCCAACAGATACATAAGGGGTGTTAATTGAGAAGCCGTTCCACTCAGAACGATTCTAAAATCTGAGTTAAGAGAGTCTTGCCCTGAAAAGCCCATCAATGAGCATCCATCATGCACCTCTTTCCCACAACCTAGGACCTTAGTTAGCTACCCACATTTCCTTTTGATCCTGTCTGCAGGTCTTCAAGTGGTTTGCACGCCACGTCTTACACAGGATATCAAACTATGGGGTTGAGGAAGTAATCGAGCTCTGCTCTCAGGACAGCTGAACAGCACTGCCACAGGGCTAGCTCGGGATGCAGCCTTGCTAACTGTATTTGTTCATGTGGGCTGATTCTCCTCAACTTTAGTCTTTTGTCGCTATTGTCCTGAGAAGACTTTCTTTGTGCCAGGATTGCAGGACTGTGCAATCCTGCTCTCCTGCTCTGCTCTAACGCAGGGCCTGGGACCATGTCAGGCAGCTGCCTGTGATGGAGAGCTCTTTAGCACTGCTGCGTTTCAGAATTGGTTATGTATGTAGTAATAGTGAATAAAATGTTATGAATGACAGTAAATTGTAACAAATGATATTGCTTTTAATTTAAGACTTTTTGAGTCAATTGACTGATGGTGCCAGCACAAAATAACTCTTTTTCCCCTTTATGTTATTTCCTTTGTGGTTGTCTCCTTTCTCTTTCAAATGAAACTCATAAATAGCAATGTAAGAGTCTAAGCACAAGGATCAGGACTGGTCCTTCATGCTTCTGGGTGTTGTGAGATTGCTAAGGATTAGTTACAGGGCTGTTAAAATACATCTTTTTGCGGTCATCAAATGAAGTGATCACATACAAATTTAGCAATTAACTATCAAGGAATATCTGATTAGGTAATCAGCTTCCTAAATAAAGACGGGTTAGGACTGTTGTCCTGTAGAGGAACTGATCCCAAGTGCTTGGTTTCC